GGATGGGTATTAGCTAAATGCTTCGTTATCAGCATGTGTGTCAATCCGCCAAATAGGTATGTTCATTTCAAATCATTATAGAGATTATCTTTTTCATCACTGACGTTACTGGGATATTCGTAGCCGGTTTCCAATGATTGTGCTGATTGGCAAACAAACAACACCGAGCCCAAAACAATTTTCGTCAGTATTTCGGAGCGCACCATATTTCTGTCTAAGATTCGATTGGTCGGTAGAAAAAAGTTCGTTTGCTTGCTTGCTTTTTGGGGTAACGAAGTGTTGCGACTGTCGAAATTAGCATTATATCGAGATTAGAAACATTGATGGCCATTCCTCGCAAGGTGGTTTCCAATGAAACTCGTGCGAACGTTAAAAGGTACCGGACTAAGACAACTTTCTTGGGGAAGACCAAAGGAGGTAGAGCGTGAGAAAAGGAGAAGAGAACAAAAGGTTTATATTTGAAAATAAAGCGAAAATATTATTGCAAATGTTTGTTGGGTCGTGCAAGGATAAGAGTTGAGAAATAAAAGTCGGGATTTTTACAGAGTCAAAAGTATCGCGTATATCCACAAAAGTGGCAACGAAACATTTGGTGTCATTAAATGAATGATAAATGTTACCGATATAAATAGAAATACATTCCATCGCGCCTTCGCCTTTCCTAAAAGCGAAAAGGTTAGTCGGTAGGATGCAATTATGCTCTAGCCACCAATCTAGCCGAGACTTAAGTATGTTGTGCTCGAACATTTTACATAAAGCTGAAATAGAGCTATCGGACGGAAAGGAGTATTAGCAACAAGTTTGGGGATAGGAATAACTTTAAAGGGATTCCAAGTAATGGGACCTATTTGAGTGAACAAGATACATTTACTATTATAAATAAACTATAAAAAAATAATAAGTAACAAAATCAATTAAGCATTTATTAGACACAATATAGTACAAATAGAATATTATACAATTCCAACCTTGAGTTTTTAAAATTAATTTAGTACATAGTAGTTTTTTTGTTTAGAACTATCAACAATAAAAACTAATAAATCTAATGTTTTATATTATAATATGTTTATTTTCGTTAGTTTAATAACAGTTCAATATATGTATTACATCGTAACATGTACAAAACAATTTGTTTTAAATGAGAAAAATAACTCAATTTTATATAAAAGCAGCCAGTACACGATCATTCAAGTTTCTCAGTATACGCGATTGACACTCGTATGAATGACTTACAAAATGAATAATTTTTTGTTTAACTTTGGACCGAATGGCTTTGGAGAAATGTTACTCTAATACTTATTACTTTTTAATTAGGTAGTATAAGTATAATGATTCTTCATTGTGAAATGGAAGAAGCTTGTATTGCTATTATTTTAGCACTATGAACAGACAACTACAGCAAAAAAACAACAAAAACGTATATGGTCTAAAGAATGATTTTTAAAAAGAGCAACATTTACTCATCACTATTTACTAAACGAGTTATTTTTAACTTCAACTCAAGACTATATACATTTTTTCGAATGGATCATTTAACTTCCATTGAATTATTACAGAAAGCGGCACCTACATAGTAAAACCACAGAATAAATGAAATCAGAATGGAAACATTGATAATTTAACATGGGAAAGATAGGACTCATTATCTGAGTGGGTCGCTATGGGTGCTTTCTTGTTTTAGACGCGCCAGACCGACAACACGTTAAAATGGGAATAATACAGGGTGGCCCACAATGATTTGACAAATTAAATAACTTTTGTTCCAGTGAATAATTTTAAAATTTCCTATCTTGAATTAAAAAAAAAAAAGTAAAACAGGTAAGTGCAATAAAAACCATGGTGTTTATAACGCAAATGAGTATGAATTATTTAAAAAATAAAAATCTTAAAAATATTCACTAGAACGAAAGTTATTTCATTTGTCAAATTATTATGGGCCACCCTGTATGATATAAAACCTAATTATTTTTCGTACTTAGAACAAATTGTTATTATTTTTTTTTTAACTATTACCATACTATGATATAGTACATTGTACTGTTAACGAAACAAACATATGATAATAGAAAACCTTTGACTTATTTGTGATTTTGTTGTATCATATTTTATTGTGTAATATTGTGTCTAATAAGTGTCTAGTACATGCTTTTCTTACTTGTTATTTGAACATTTTTTATTAATTAATGTGATAGTATATTTATAATAGTAATTAAGTTGTACAAAAGACAACTATTTTATAATAGTAATTAAGTTGTACAAAAGACAACTATTTTTTAAAAGAAATTCTTTTGTATTTTTCTAAAAGAAATCATCCGAAAAAAACTGATTTACACGTAATAGCAATTCTGAGCTTGCAAATGACGTGTTTATCATGTAGCATTTTTGCAATTTGACAAAATATTTGAGTAACAATTTTTTTAAACTATTTATTTGAAGTACATAAAATAATAATATAGTAATAAAATAATAATAAAATAATAATAATAATATACTGATGGTGTACACTGTAGTGTACTCTTTATTTTTTTGGTGAAATTGAGTCATGTCTAACAATATATTCTTAATAGTAAATAGTCTATTACACAATTAAAGTATTTGAAATATTAATTTTATAATTAGTTCTCTGAAATATTTACTGCTAGTAGTCATGTTAAGTAAGTTAAATAATACGTTAATCGTAGTTATGGAACCTAAATGGATAAAAGAATATAATAAAATGTAATGAAAGTTATTAAAAACTTTCTATACCGTTGAAAAGCATAAAATCTAGTGTTTTTTGAAATTTTTAAAAATTGTCCATGAAATATATTTTTTTTTAATGTGAGAAAGTGGCTAGCCTTATTATTTTTACCTCTATGTATGCTACTACTCGTCATCTGATTTTTACATTACATTAGTCTCATCTGTCGCCGGATCGTATGTAAACCCAAAAGATCCGTACGTTGTATGAATGAAACGATTTATGAATACTTTGAATACATCTGCCCGGCGATTTATTCCAGGATTTTCTGGGATGGTTACATTGAAGCGCGAAACAGTCGTTCGACAATTTTGATGAAAAAATTTGAACAAGGGACTAAACTTTTCTGTCAGTAGCTTCGTTTTCCACGACTTCGATCGTATCAACATAGTTGATTGCTCAATCCAATTTTCTGGCAGAACAATGCTATCGTAATAGTTCTTTATTTCACCTAAGATTTCATAAACGCCTTTTTTGTACTCAATTTTTGAGGACAAGTTATAGAAATACAAAAGCGCCCCTTGCATATGCAGCACCATTGGATCAATCTCCTTTACAATAATCCAAAATTGTCTCCAGCATTCCAATGAAGTGGAAATGCCATTTATTTTATTGCACTCATTTGCTATACCTGTCACGTGATCGTAGCATGTCTTCATCACGATAATATACTCACAGCTTAAAAATTGGTGAACATGACGAATTTTATCGACTACGTTTTTTTGGCTCACTATCGTACCGTCCGGACTCTTTTCGAGCATTTCCATTATTCCTATACAACGCCCATTTTCAATTATATTAAATGTATCCGTCCACCGCCAACCGGAAAATGATAAAAGATCATTAATTTGGTTAATGTGCGGTATCATGTCTGGGTCATAAGCTATTCCGGTAGTGTTCAATTCCGAATTGTATTTAAAGCCTAACAACTCATATTGTGCTTTTATGCAATTGTCTAAAATTTGTTTAACTTTTATTTGCATATCTAACATTTCGAAGGTAGGATTTTCCGAATTGTTTCTGCTTTTAACATTGGCCCTCGTTGTTGAAACTTTTTTATATACTTCGTCGTACGGAAGGGGCCAGCAATTACTGTTAAAAAATGCGCTCAAGAGTTTTACGGTATTACACATGTGTTGTTCGATAGCGTCGCTTTGGGCAATAATCGCAGAACCAGTGTCCGATGTTGATGCTTCATATTGTTTGGCGTTGTAATAATTTATAAAGTCTTCCAGGATTTTGGATACATCTATGTTGTGCTCAGTATTAGGGGATAGGTGGTAAAAGAACCAAAGAGCACCTCGCATACGTGACACTAATCGATTATTGTCCTCGATCAGTTCCTTTAAAGAGTCTTCGAAGTACTCCATTTTAGTAGGTTTATCTATTCTTCTGCACTGATATACTATACCTCTTTTGTATTCACAATACTTCTTTAAGACATCGGCATATTTGCAGCTCAAAAACTGATGAGCCATTTGAATCTTACAATCAACGTTATCTTTGGTCACTATCTCTCCATTTGCAGTAAGTTCAAGTAACTGGCGTATTTCGCACCACTGTTCAGTTTTTGACCACTGGTCTCTAACTTGTATGGGATCATTGCTGGAGTTTAACTCAGGCCAACCGGGATACGAAAGAAGCTCGTTCATCGGGCCAACGGGATCTACATCTACTGAGTCTAATACCATTACACTCGAGTAAAATATCATAAGACATAGAAGGCGTGCCATTTTTACTTTTCACAGCACTTAAAAATTCACAAACAAGTACTTGTCTAAAATACAGTAAAGAAAGTATTGCACTGTTAAGATTATTAAATGCTCGAGGCGGAATAGTGTTTGTCTAATGCTCAGAATAGTATTAACTGCTGGGTTTACTTAACAAAACAAATTTTGCATTGTACGTCATCGGGCAGTAACGCATAATAGAAATTGGATTTTGTTAAGCCGTTTCGCTGTTTTCTAAGTACATTCATTTCAAGGTTATTCAAAACCCTGATATTCGTTCGTTCTTTTGTTATGTTAGATAATTAATTGTTTTCTAAAATAAATGTGAATGATCATATTTATTACTTCTGTGATTCTTATTTTATTACTAATTGTTGTATTTTTATTTCTATGTTGTTATAATATGTATTAGGCTTTTGAGTTTATTTATTGATATGAATTATAACCGTATTTTTCACTGTTATTTATATTTTTGTTTTGTTGAAAATTTATGACCATTTCATAGAAGGGAAAAAAACAAAACCGATTAATTATTAACTAAAACATTTTAATATTTAATTGTTTTTATAATAAGTTATTAAATGTACAAATTATTTCACAATTGATAATTTTACCGTGAAATATTATCTGCAGATGTGAACAGACAAAAATAAAAGCTACAATTGAAATTCCTAACAATCCTAACATAGCCATACTAACACTGGCGGTGATAAATATAAAAATAAAAATAAACCAATTTGGGGTCAATTAGGTATAAATAAAATAAAATAACAATTACTCTGTATTATTATTTACAAATTAGTATTAAAAAAAAATTAGACTTGATGACACTCTTATCGTCTGGACGTCGGCGGGGCTGGAGTGTGTTGCATGCAACCTTCAACGTTTTCCGGCCAATCGCAAACGTTTTCTTTAGGGTTGAAGACCAAGTTGGACGGACATGGCATATGATGTTTCCTTTCACCTTCGCACATGTAGTACATGGTACAGTCTGCTTTGTCTGGGTGATAAGATATGTGTCCATCTTCTTCTTCGCACGTTACAGATGTCGCTGTTGGTAAAAACAAATGCCAATAACGTATTATGCTCCTTAAACTAGGTATCTAATATATTTTTAAAAAATCATTATATTATATTATTTTTATAATATAATTTTTAGTTACACAATAAAATTGGGTTTGAAACAGGTATGTGTTTTTTCAACGATCAAACTATAACGTTTTAATTTGAATATACTGTTACTCACGATCTTTTGTGGTGTAGACAGCGTTTTTTCCAGTTGACTCGTATGGTCCATCGTATTCCAATTTCACTGTATACCCAGCTAGTTCTTGTTTCATAGCGTTGATCAGCGGATATTTGCCAGTGCCGCAAATTCCTCTGTAATCGTCCATGTCTACCGACCATATCATAACTCCTCCAAATCCTTCGTCTTTCAGCCAAGACATCTACGAATTCACAACGATAATCAAACACTACAACACTGAGTAATAATAGATAAGTAGAATAATAGTTTACCTTAGTCTTTAGACTTCTCTCGTCGTCAAAACCTATCCACTGATCTTTCCTGTACGCGAATGGCACCTGTTGTTCGTTGTCCCAGACTAGTGTAGTATTTTCGACGTGTAAGAAATCGCATACCTACGAACATCCCAAAAATATATAGATTTTGAGCATTCAACTGTTGATTTTTATGTAGCCTTACCTCGTAGTACGCCATGAAACCGGCTTCAGACGTATACTTGCCAGCTACACCACCTCCAGATGCAGGAGCTCCAATGTCAAATTTGGCCGGATCTACCAGAGTAAATGACCTACCATACGTTGGCATTCCTATCATGAGCTTTTCTTTGGGCGCACCTTGTTTAACCCATTCCCTGGCACTGTAATCCTATGGTACAAAGTAACCAGATGTTTTAGACAATTCCTGAGTGTTATAATTATATTATATCAGTTTTTGATGGTACTCACCACAGTGAGCTTTTTCTGATAGCTGGTGGCACTTTCTAACGGGTACAACGGGCTGTTGTGTCCGACTTGGCGTTCCCACTGTCCGTGGAAATCGTACGTCATAACATTAATGAAGTCAAGGTATTTCGATATCTCAACAACGTCGTATCTGATCAATACAGATAATTGTTAAAACGTGGAAGCTCAACATATTATTTAAATTTTAATAACACACACTTACCCAGCGGCAATAGCTTCGAAGCTGGCAGGGACAGCGGCGCTAAGTAGTAACCTCGGCAGTCCAGAACTCTTAGACTCTCCTTCGAATGCCAACCTCAACTCTTTCAATAAGTTAACGTACGCCGCTTTGTCGTCGATTCCTCGGGGGTATTCCCAGTCGACGTCCAAACCGTTGAACTTGTGCTCTCTGAGAAATTCAATGGCTTCGTATACAAATTGATTCATTCGAAACACGTTTCCAGTGAGTTCTTTGAACGGAGTCGATCCGAAAGCCCAACCGCCAATGGCTAATAGAACCTGTGGTACATGGTAATATGTAAGTACCTATACACATTTTCGTTATAGCTTCGGTGTGACGATTGACCACGTACTTTTAGGTTTTGGTTCTTTTCTCGAAGATTTGTCATTTCTTTGTACTGTTCCGTGTCCTTTTCGTTGGCAAACGTTAGTTTGAAATCTTTTAACGTACCGAAAGCGTAAATAACGTGTGTACACAACATGGGATCTATGTTGTCAGGGGTGAATTTTCCTGCGCCAGGTCTCTTGATAGACCAGCTTGTCATGTAACAAATAACTTGAGGCGCACGTGCTGGTAAGATAAACACACGTATAATACAAATTCGCAATAATAGAAGAAAAATACTTATTTTAATTTGATATACTCTCATATTTACCATTCAAATCTACTACGTCAGTTTGTATGGCTGTAGACGCTAAGATTTTCGATGGTTTTGCTTTAGCCAAAACTTCGCTTACGCTTATTTTAATTGGCGCTGGTTTCGGTATGGAGTCTATGGTGATACTGTTAGCTACCTTAGACCAATCGATGTCCTCTTTTCCTCTCTTGATACCTCTCAGTTCTTCCCTATAATGGAATGTTATATAAAGTTGTTGAAACAAAACTGCAATGAACACTATTGCAATTACAAACCTCATCGCTCCAATCAAAGGATATTTGACGTCTCCACCACAGAGTGTTCCCGTGAAATCGTCCATGTCGGTTGTCCATACCATAGCTCCGGCATAACCGTTATCCTTGATCCACTTCATTTTATTTCTAATCGACCTTTCGTCGTCAAAACCGATCCACTGATCTCCAGAAATAGCGTAGGGTACTTTCATCTCTTCGTCCCATACGTAAGACGCGCCGTTGCGAAGAATCTCACAGATCTGTTAAATATGAAACACAATACAATGTGCTCGGTAGATGTTATTTTTTACTAAATAATGTGTTGAATAATATTTTGCTAAATGCTTAATATATTGTTAGTACCTCGTAGTACGCTAGAAATCCTGATTCTTTCGTATACTCTCCGGCTTTACCACCACCCGACGCTGGTGAGTTGACTTTGTAATTGGCCGGGTTGCTTAGAGTGAAAGTTCTACCATAGGTCGGCATGCCTATGACGAGTTTATCTTTGGGCGCTCCCATTCTAGTCCATATCAAAGCTGCGTTATCGACACTCAATTGTTTTCGCCATTCCGAATCGGATGACGGTGCGTACAAAGGAGCGTTGTGTCCAGTTTCTCTCTCCCATTTGCCGTGGAAATCGTACGCCATCACATTGATGAAGTCCAAATACCTAATAAAACGTGGCAAAACACGATATTAACAAGTAATTTTATGCGTTGGTGTGAATCTGAATCCGCGGCAGACCAAATTATACTTACGAAGACACGGCAGGCACGTCGTATCCACTTTTGATGTTGTCGGGACCAACTGGCACAGCGGCGGTCAACAGTAATCGTGGTTTTTTCACTTCTTGAGATTCAGCTTCGAACGCTTCTCTGAGTTCTAAAATCATATTATTGTGATGACACTTTTGTAAAATCTTAATAATAATTTTACATTATAACAACGAGCGTTGTTTACCTTTCAACAGCAGAACAAAGTTTTTCTTGTCTTCCGGTCCTTTCGGATACTCCCAATCCAAATCCAAACCGTCAAAACCTCGAGCCCGGATGAATGGTATAGCACTGTAGATAAACGTTTGTCTCGCGTATCTCGTGGCTGACATATCTTTAAACTTTTGGGTGCCAAACGACCATCCTCCTATTACAAAAATAACAATAATTAATACCACATCATTTGAGACGAGTGGTGCAAATATATAGATTGCGTGGGGAGGGGGCCCTAAGACCCCACTAATATTCCTTCAATCCGTCTTTCCAAAATTTTACATCAGGTCTTCGAAAAATGTAATTTATTAGCTTTTGTGTTTCTTTTATGGCTACAAAACGAATACAAACGCCATGCTGGAAGTTAACAAACAAATCCAATTTGTAACTCTTACTAAATGTTGAATGCTCAAAATACATATTTTTTTTTATTGATAGATTTCGGCCGCGTTTAAGTAAATCTGTTCAAGGTCATCATAATGCATACGTTATTGTGTATGTCTAGTTGAATGAAGATTGCATCGGATAAATTCTGAGTTCGGATGAGCTCAGCCGAACATGAATGAACACGTTTTAACGATTGAAACGGGTTTCTTTGTGCGAATAATTTTTTTATTGAATAATAAATATTAGTTCCGACCCGGCACTATCAGAAGGTGTCCTCATGTACCAGAAACGTATTATGTCATTGGGTGATTTAACAACCCGTCGTTACACATACCCAGGGCTAACAGGGTCTTCAACTTAGGGTTGGCCTTCTTCAAGTTCTTCACACGGTCGTACAGTCCGACTTTGCCGTCTTTGCTTTCGTCGTTGGACTCGAACGACGACAAACGTCCTTTTTTCAACCATCCAAAAGCGAATATCAAGTGAGTGCACAGTTCTGGATCGATGTCTTCCGGCAAGTATTTACCGGCTTTCGGTCGGTATTGCGACCAATTCGTGTAGTAGCAAACGATCTGTAAATTGAAAACATGGATTAGGTTAATGTGTTAAATGAAAAAAAATATATATTAAATAGTATTTAGATAAGGAAAAGAAAGGCGTACGCTGCACAGTGTTTCCAAATTAAAAAAGCTTTGCCAAATTTTCATTACTTCCAATAAGCCAACATTCGGGAGAAGCAACAAATAAGGAACATAGCCGAACAGTCACAAATCGAGATCCTTTTCAGCAATTTTTGTCTACATCTGACTCTGTAGTATTACTTTTATATGAAATACAAATATTACATGAAAGTCAATTATTTTATTTATATATATATTGGAATTTTTAATAAAACCATTTTGCAAGTTTTGGATTTTAAAACTGATACACAATTTAGATTTAAGAACATCTTAAACGTGTATATAGTCGATATGCCACTCAAAAAAAAAATGTATTTAAATAAAAAATACCCCTTTTTGACCCCCTAAATAGGTGTGGAACATTAAATTTCACATCAAATTTGGGTTCTGGGAATTAAAAAAACATATAAATTGACTCCTTACAGAGTGTTATAAAGTAAAATTTGAAGAAAATATGATTTGGCCAGGCTTTTTAAATTTGGTAACACTGTACGCCACAAGAAAGTTAATTGCAAAATGTTTACGCCGTCCAAGTGCGGGTGTGTCCGTATATTAATAATATCTCATGTATTATCATTCAATAACCATTTTTGTTTTGCAGCCTTGGCATTTACGCACGTGTTGTTTGACTTGACAATTTTGATTAAACGTCAAGAACGCCCGTTGTTAGTATCAAAGAAAACGGTATAAAAATATTTTTGTACGCCAAGTTTAAGCGTTTTGTAATCGACTGCGTGTCACCAGTTGGTACATAATTCATACGCGCCTTGTAAATTATTATTATGAATGTTGCTGGCCATATTTAAAAAAATAAACATTTACACGGTGTTAATAATAATTTGCATGATGACTAATAACGTTTAAAATCACTGGATTTCACTATAGTGACGGAATATTTTTGTGGTCTTAACGAAATGCAAAGTTCGTGATCATTATTAAAAACCTCCGAGAGTAAAACCCATCAAAGGGTTAATGGAATCGAAAAATGATACATAGCTCGAGGGTTAACTCGTGTCACAAGGCAATTGTCAATTTTAGTATATTGTTTATCCGTGACGGACATGCAAGTAAAGATCAAAGACCCCTGTATGCGAGTTATGTAATCCAATCATCGTATTGGCCGACAATATCTAATAAAATTAAGTCAGGACATAAGAGACTTCCTTTATAGCAGTGTAAAAAGAACTTTTCCCCCCTTCGATATTCCCGTACATCCCTATTAATTAAAGACTTGTTTAAAAAAAAAAATTGTATGCAGAACCCCCTCATTGGGAACTGTTGATCACACGACTTCCCCTCATTACAGAAATGTGACGTAGATAATCTCGATTTGAAGTCTTAATTTTGAATCTATAACTGAACACCCTTATTGAAACAAGTATTTTGTTAACTCTTACTGATGTTTACATGTCCTATGTAATTACCAATGTAATATATAATGTTTTTTTTTTAAAAATAAATTAAAGTTGTGAAAACTTGGGAATGTAACAATTATTAATGGCACGGTATAAAATCTAAGTAAATTATAACATATTGATTGCATAGACTCTCGCGTAGCAATCATTTTTAGCGCGTCCTTCGTCGGACGTCAATTTTTACTTATGTTTTTTTTTTTTTATTATTATTAATTTCACTAATAGAAAATCGAATATGTCTTTCGATCTGTCAACGCGTTTGTCTGTGCGAATTCATCGCACAAAAGAATTTTTACTATACAATCGGCATTGATAGTACCTTATGTGCGCAACCGCTGGCGTAACTAAGTATATTATGTACTTGCCAGATACTACCGGTGAATAGCATTTTCTACCCGTCGATATTGTTATGCTTTTTATTTTCTCTGGAATAATCGGTGAAGGGCAAGCTGTATTGTTCTAAAACGCATTGACAATATTGGTCGTGCTCAGTCACGTCGCCGTCCCTATATCTTAAAAGCGCAAAGAGCCTTGAAACCTTCTGTGCCCGATTATTACCTTATATCCGCCTTCGTCTTGGCTGTCTTTGGCCGGGGCTATGTGTTTCTCAGACGATGATTCAGTGCCCGACTTCCTGGTCGCCACTCGGTTTCGTATCTTAAACTTGTTCACCGAAGCCGACGTTTCCATGTCCGCAGCCGACGAAGTAGCCGTCGATCCATCTGCAGACGGGGTGTCCTGTTGTAATTTGTTACCCGTCGGTCGTCTCAGTCTTCTACGGATTGCTGCAAACAATAAAACCAATCGACATTACTTATATTCAAACGGTATAAGTGTCTACACTCATTTTTTAAATTTATTTAGGGTAAACGCCCAAGAGGGCTTAAGTACAGTTAGGTAACACAATATTATTTTACAATTAATGCATTAACTATTAACATAATGAATAATAAAATACAAGATAATAGTTTATAAACAAGAACAAGTAAGTAATTGTAGAATAAGTTTAAATAAATTATAATAAATGAATGAACTTAAGGAACACTAAACTACGCAGAATCTGCTCTACTTATGTCAACGCCATCAGTTTTGACAAAAACAATTTTAAAGTTCATATTTTTTGTCACTTACTACTTCATAATATTAAACTTTACATTTCTTTAGATTTTAAGAGGTCATACGTTTTTTATTGGGATGTTATAATGAATGAACTGATAACTATAATTTGATATCAATATCTTGAACATTTTTTTGTATGACTGTAAAATTGTACATTGGTGGTTGTAGTTCATTTTTGCGCAGAGTACAGACTACCGAGTGACAGAATCATAACGATACTTATCTAACTAGTGATTGTGGTGATGATGATGATGACCATGATCCAATTATATAAGCTTGTCAAAAACAAATTTGTTAGCTAAAGCGTACATAACCTTGCCTGGCTGTATTTCAGCGAAAGAATAATATAATTACATCTGTTTCACTTTTGCCATTTGCGTAGGAAGTAATTGTTTGTGTTATACATATGCTTGTGTAGAGGATTTAGAAAGGGTTTTAAATCAAACATAATTATCAAAAAATTATTATGGTTTATTAATTAACTAGTCATCACGTTGAAACTTTTATTTTTACATACCCACTTCGACCGCGAACAAAAAGGGGTTTATCTTACTTATCACAAATGGTGTCCTAACTTTGTATACACTTATTTTAACATAGAAGCGTTTTGATGTTGTATGAATTTGCAATAATAGCCAAGAAGTAAACATAAAAATGGGTCTGACCAAATTAGTTTAGATTAAACGTGTTCGTACAGATAATTTTGTATTCTAAAAGATAAAATAGTTTTATTTAGAATAGTAGCATTTGTTTTTATCAATTAGACTATTATACATATGGAATTAGTTTTATTTAAAAAAGACCCATTATCTTATAAACAGAATACATTGGCTCTGTATACAGAATTAAAACATAAGTACAGTTATTCGAATAATGCTGAACTGTGACTATGGGTCAAAATAGTTTCTATACTATAAAATGTATTATTATTTATTATTATTCAATTTATCTAAACACAAAGTTTAGAGCTAGCGGCCATGCTATAGTTTAAACCTATTAACGTGACCCTACTGGTTTTGTTGGGCAACCGTTCTTATAGTCATAGCCGTCAGGGGCCAATTTTTCCGGCGTCTTATGTGTACAAACTCTGGCGTTCTACATAGTATAACATTATATATTATATTGACACTCATATATATATAGAATATATAAGTTTAACCATGTATGTATAATGTATATGAATATATACATATATAGATCAGCTGACCGTATGGCGCAAAAACGAGAGCGTTGCGCACGCACCTGTGATAAAATTAAAAAGTAAAAGGAACTCGCTAAAAAACTGGTTCGACCGCCCAACGGTCGTTATGTCCACCAGTCAGTCTATATATCCATATTATACATATAATACATTATATTCAATATTGTGTATATATACATATATTTATTATATATAATGAATGTGTTTACTAATAAAATTCGCTTTTCTATCGTTTATTATAACGCGACAGAATGATTTCTATCTTAATAGCTGCTGTTATTGAATGGTTAAAATGTATATATATATATATATATTTACCGTTTTTTTTAGTTAAAAATGTTGTATGGCCCATGCAATTGTATTTTCGAGCGAGAGACTTTTAACGTTAGACACGATTTATGGACCGTGTTTTACGGTTATTACAATGATTTTTTAATGTTTTTATTGTTCCTTATATATTTGTAAATACAATACACTTTCAGATATAAAAATAATAGCTCTCTATAAATTACAGGTATTTCGTCCGCATGAAGTATTTCGACCGCATTCGGTACTTGAAGGTTTCATTAATGACGAATTAAAGAAAAAAACCGGACTGTCTATACTTAGAGGTGTTTTACAAGAAATGCTAAGATAGAGAAATGTAATACATATTTTATTGCAACGAATTTAGGCTCGAAGCAAATCTGTACATTATAAAAAAAAAACTATTTTTTATTGAAATAAAATTAAATAGGCAGGTAATTTTAATTCAAACAAATATCTAAACACCTATTTGATTTGCACAAATCTGAATAACAATTATCAAATGAAGCAATAATTTACTTTTTAAATAGATATTCAGATACTAACTTTAAAAATTTTATATTAAAATAAAAATTCAAATAATAAAATAGAATAAATGCTGAGCACATAATATAAATACAAAGTTAAGTTTATATTAAATGTAAACAAAATAATGAAGAAAAAAATATATATCCGACGATATACATGTATAGTATTGGAGTATTAAAAAATAGCGTTTCAGCTGCGCAACGAACCTAAAATAGTTAACAACAAATTATTTGTAATAATTAAATTAAATTAGATAAGTGACGGCGAGGAAACATGATTGATAAGATATAAGAACTACTCAAAGTAACCATACAGGTTTCGTAATAAAATATTATATGGAATAAAGATTTCGGAATAATAACCGTCGTGACTGCAATATCCCTGAACTAAATGAACTAAAAAAAAAATAATAATACGTAACACAATAAAAAACTTATACAAAATTATTATATTTGGTGAAGTGTCGCTTTTAATTTCAATATTAAAACTAATGTTAAGCTGGTAAACTCAAATTCCCGCTGCCGTCTATTTTTTTATTTAACTAAAACAACAGCGAAAAATAAATTACTATAATCATTAAAGTATATCATTTCCAAATTGTTATAACCAAGTATAATTAATTAATTATAACATGATTATTGCTATAAATGTAGCATGCATAAATAATTTATATGTATTGAATACATTTTATCGTTTTTTTTTTTTAAATTGGATTTATTCATAACGATATATCAGTGTAACTAACAAGACTACATACTGCTCTTACCACTGGTGGCTGCTTAGAAGTTTTATTGCAATACGTTCAGTCTAGATGTTATATTTTTTTGCACCGATAATTTGTGAGAAACTTGTTTTGATTTTTTTTTTTGCAGCAACACCAACGGCGACAGCGGGTAACAAAATAATATTATGAAATAAGGTTAATACACATGTAATCCGGAGAATGTGCGTCTGTGTGGTCTACCCAGTGTCAACTATCAAAATATGGTGTTTGCTAATCAAGCATAAACGGTAAAATATACTATTTGTACTACTTCCCTGAGGCACAGTCCGCGCGATAACGCGGTGCTTATGGCCTACAATTATGATGCCGAATATTCTGAAATAAAGTAAATGTGTTATTGCGCAACTATGTTTTTTTTTAGAGCCAATACAGTTTGCAATTATGTATAAAATACATTTAGAACGCTTCTTATTATATCGTCTCATCATATCATTGATAATATTGGCATATCAATGTTAATAGTAGTGACAGAGATCACCACGGACACACTCTTCAAGTAGCAAAATGTATTTCCTATATTAAGTATCTTACACCTATGCATGTGCTGCTTTACAATTCTATACAACCATATCAATTAACTGTAAAATAGGTATGAATAATTTAGAAAATTCTATAAATCAATACTAAATTTTATTACAATTTATGCAAACAGAATTGTACTATGATAGTAGCCCACTACTGGTGAGATTACCGTCCATTTTTTCTAAGTAGGGTCCAGTTTTATTTTTCAAAACATTGAGAGAACCATAGGCAGATATAATGAAGAAGCTTAATTAATTAATATCTTTAATAATAAAAAAGGGTTTGAATAAATTCGATTTAGCTCACAAGTGAATTAAAAATAATGTACGTTGGCGAAATTTTGAATTTGTATTTAATAACAAAGTAATTGTATGTACATCAAATAGTTGAGCTCATTTAGTTAAACAAATTTATCCAACGTACTGGCTTCAGAAATATTTTATGATCTTTCAATTGCAAGGTGTTATTGCTACAAATCCTATGTTTAAGTTGGAAAAATAGTGAAAACCGTGAACAAAGACGCTAAAATAGTCTAATGAAAAACATTAACTTCCAGTGAAGAATTCTTGCAGAGCTCTACAAAATTTTAGAAAACTTACTAAGTTATACAGAACCCTTTAACAACTGAGGAGTACACCAGCCTATTTAACAAAATATTTATTATTTTACCGGTAAAAGTAGTTAGATACAATGTATAGATTTTCTTTGTCTACTTATAAAAACTCGTGATAATTACATTGCATTGTTTTTTTTTTTCGTAATAATATGTGTTAATTTTCGAGATGTACTCGATAGTAATTTCTTTTTGTTAGCAATAAATAATTTATATATTCTTTATTATTCCTTGGACTGGAGCTGGAACAATCTCGGTCGGCATCCTTGAAAATCTCACGCTCGGTTTGGGTCGAGTCGTTTTGTAGTCGCGTTACAAAAACGCGTATGAAGAAAAATCGGACTTGCAGAGAAACGTTTGACTCGGACAATTTACATAATATATAAATAATATCTTAATGGCAAACGGCTTAAACGTTGCGCCACGATTTAAAGATCGACCGTCAGTCTAATGTATTCTCCGGTGCTTTGAGCTTAATATGCATTATTATTATTTATTTGCTTGGCCAGCAGCTGTTTGTTTGCTGTACCACAGTCAGTCATCGATAGTGGTGTCTCCTTTGACCACAGGATTATGTCACATAAACATAGAAGGCGATGACCGATCCGGGAAACCGGTCTCGATGAAATCGCAAGTAAGTAAATGTATACTAGGTCGTTTTGAACCTTGACCCGCGACCTTGCATTATAGCAGCGACCGTCCGGAACTGGTGAAAGCCCACCACCGGACGTCCACTGCGGTTTATGTCATAAAACGTGAGAATCGTTTGCACAGGACACAATCTCAGCTTTAGTCAAGATCCGATAAAAACAAATAAATGCCTTTGTTATAAATAATCTCCAAAATAAATATTGTACATCAGTTCTGTGTATGAATTCAACACAGAAAATAGAACAAAAAACACCATATACGTTTTAGAAAATTATATTAACGTGCATAACACGCCAAAAGACCATAAAACGGTGTTTTATTTCAAAAACTTAGATGTGATTTAAAAATTAACCAATCGTGATCAACTCCAGATTAGGATTCAACGATAAAATAGATGCATCTATTCTCGTTCTATAATCGTGTTGAACTATGTATTTGAATAGCTCCAAAAATAGGGTTTGGTTATGAGTACGTTAACTATCTATTTAACCTTACCGTCTAAATAAAGTACGTATATTTATTATGAGGATTTGTATGTACTTAGAGCAGATCTCCGTTGCAGAGAACGAGTTCCTTCCACTAGGTATGTTTTTTAATGTTGACCATTTCTATTAAAATTTATTTATTTGCCTTTTGCAAATATATTATGTGTTCTAGATGGTTCTTAAAATCGTTCAATCTTTACTCACATTAACAACTATACGATAAATGGCTGTGGTTGAGCAATATTTTAACATTAATAAATTTGAAACTTTACTGTTTATGGGCTTTTAAGCAAATATGGCCGATACTTATTATCAACTCACAACGGTAATCGAGTGAGTTGGGCAATTCTCACACGCCATAATATTTCGACATTAGACTTCATACTTTAAACTGAAAAATATGTTTTTTTTTTCAATTGCCATATGCTATATTACGGTAGCACATAATATTTTATAAATTATGACCCTGTCGCTAATCATTCAAGTACCCATCAAATTAAATATAATAATTATATTATTATAAATACGATACATATCTGTAGTCATTGTTTTTTTCTACTCGCACACAATAGATAATATATTCTCATAATACTCATACAAGTATACAAATGTTACTTTCAGCACTAGTCATATTTAAAACTGTGATGTAATTACAAAAACCTTTTCCAACGCATTTGTCGCGCCCACTTTAAAATTTAAATATAATTTGTATAATTGGAAAAGGTTAGAGAACTTACAACGCATAATATATTGTATAGGCGTTGAAAAATTTAATTAATATACTTGCTAACACATGTTTATAATAATAAACTGCGATAACATGTGTAGTAATTTTATTACATGAATCTCTGAATAATTTCAAAAAGCTTTACAGTAGTTTCGTCATACTCAAACTTATATAATATGACAAAAAACTTACTATAAAAATGAGCAACGTTAACTCATTTAAATAAATAATTTTGCATAGAAAAAAAAAATACTGAAAACTAGTTTACACGATAAAAATGGTCATGTCTTCAAAGTTACTTTTATATGTTTTTTATGAACAACTTACTGTAAGATACTTTTAATTAAAAGAGCCAAACTCAATTTTCTCTAAAAATGAGGTAGATTTATTATTTTACATTTTTACAATTTTAAAATTCTGTGGTAGGTAACGTATTAGGTTATATTTTACTTATTTAAAAGCAAACCTAAACCGTCGTGCACTCTTATGGAAAACTAACATTTTGATGTTCATTACTAAAATGTAATAAAAATTAAAGAGATAGGTAATTTTAGACCAAGTAAATGCATTACATAGGTATATTTTTGTATTGTGTATATTATATTATAAATTACTTTACTTATATTCTAATACAACGTTCCCAAGTAGTATTATAATTGTTAACTTTCGTTAGTATAGTCCACGTATAAGTAGTTTTTAAAATAGAAACTTTCACATTTTGCTGACAAGTAAAATTAAAAAAAATACATTATAACTAAATTTAGTTTTGCCGTTTGCTCTTCGGATGGTCCATGTCCCCGAAGGGAACAAAACGTTTGGTCATCTATACAACGTTTAAATGCGGATTGAGACGTTAAAAACAAATGATTATAGCTTGTATGACTTATTACTATCATCACCAAAATATACATTATCTGTTTGTATAATATTATACGATAGAGAGTTAAACATAACATTTGAGTGTTGTATAAAGCTAGCATGGAACACTCAAAGCATCCTACAAATGACCATAATCGTTTTCTTAGATGAGCAAACACTGATGCAAAACATAAAGAGTTTTGATTGATATTATTAGAAAAATGGGATTTATGCTAAATTTTTCAAAAACCATACAGAAAATGATTAAATGAAACTTCCATAATATGCTTTTATTTGTCATCTCACACAGTTATAATATTAGTATTTGTATTAATTATTATACTTGTATTTTTCTGTGTCCCCTATCCACAGAGCAAAAGACTTAGACGTTGTAAAAAAATTCGTCGGCAACCTTTACATCCCGATCAGATACAATACAATTAGTATTGAGCAGAATTAAAAATTCATGATTTTGGGTAAAATAGAAATTAGAAAATCGAAATTAATTTATTACTTTAAAATCCTAATATTAAAGCAGATGGGATTGGGATATAGCGAATCCTGGAAATTTCGATTTTCCCTAGCTCTGGTTACAATTTTTTAGAAATTGTATGATATTGTTTTTAGAATAATAAAGTCTCATATTTCTAGATCTTTTTTTTATAGCAGCTGAACTAAGGCCAATTGAGTTAATCACTGCACCACATCATGCCTCAAGATGGATCTTTTCTTTTGACATTTTTACTACATTTATTTCGATCATGTTCTACCGCCACTTATACTTTCTAGTAAGTTTTCATTACTTACTGTCGTATGCAATATTAAAGTTGTCATTTCAATTATTTTACTAGTAACATACCGTAAAGCCGGATTCTCCTGTAATCTAAAAGACTTGGATTTCAATTTTTTTAACGAAACTAATCCCGATTTGATTTTCGATTTCTACTTTTAAGTTTTGTTTTGACCAAGTCGGTTTAGTCAAACGTTAACTAGTAACTTAATTAATATTATTTTCATGTCCCATCTTCTACAATGTTATAATCGGTATTACTTACTTTCAGAGTTAGCTGGCGGTGGGCATAGTAGCGCCGCGATTACGACGGCGGTCAGCAGCAACTTGAAATGGAAACAAAGTTTATATTTTCTGTCGGTCTGGAACAAAAAAAAACAATTTTAACGGTTAATAATTACTTTTGGAATGAAAAACGCCGAATCGGCGGCATAGTGAAAAAGATGCATGGGGAGGCTAAGGAAACGGACGGCGGATTGTTTTGCGATTGGCCACGGTGAATCGGACCCACGTTTTCTTAGAGAGGTATCACAGCACCGCCATACAATTTTGTACACTTTCCTCGGCCCGAACAGTATTTCTACTTAATGTCAAATACAATGTCGGGTTGGCTTTCACCGATTTTCAGACGATTTTTTTTTGTGTTTGTCAACCACGTATGAGTAGCGAAAATAATATCATCAGTGTGTGTGTGTGTGTGTGTGTATGTTATTATATTGTTACTGGTGTACGACACTAAAGAGAGGGAAAAATAAACAACAATACTATGTCCAACATGTTAACATAATCTGTCGTCGGGCGACTATTAACACATACCTGACGGGAAAATTCAAAATAATACAAGCTCGGTTCAGAGAAATTTCAATAATCCTCAAGACACGCTACAGACCATGTACAAGTAAGAGTAAAATAACATGACGGTCATCTAAGCTGTAATATAGGACTCGAATATCATTGTCAGACGTGCGACCAGTATGACAATGATGAGAATGTGAAAAAACAAAGTGAAAATTCGATCACGACCGTCGTTAAAGGTTTGGACGTTTCGACGACAACAGTTCTATGAACAACCGGTAAGTGCAGTACATTATGCACTTTACAATAACGTTTTTTTGTTGTTGTTATTGTAGCGACCGCTCCATTAAGGGGAGCCGTACATAGTAAATTATTTTGTAGCGAAACAGCACTTTCGATTTTCAAATACAACACTAAGTCGATAATATACCAATAGAGACCTAAATAATATCTGTTTTGCAAAAACAAAATCCATTTACAAAAGAAATATTCTAAATAAATAGTCCTAAAATTAGTATTAGGCATTAGCGAGTGAGTTTCTATCCAATAAAAAATATGTTGATATTATTTTCTAATAAGTAAACTGTTTGGTATTCACATATTTAAATTATACTTTGCTATAGGTTCTAAAAAAACGGTTCAATTTTCTTAGATTCCAATGTATAAACCTTATTTGGTTCCACTAAAATATTACAAGAAGTTTGAAGCTTTTGCGTTGATAGGCACTGTGACAATCTGATAATAAATTCCTCATAATTAATAATAATTATTGGACGATTTTTAAATTCAGATTTAGTAAAATTTGTCTATACCCAACCATTTAAAGAGTAGGGTTCATGGTGGTTTTTTAAGTAAAATAGTTGATATTAAAAAAAAAAAACCTGATATGTTCCGTTAAATGTCAATTACACGGCAAATGTTTTCCGCATATAATTAGCAAACGTTATTTTACAACAATTAGTCACGAGCTGGATCATCGTTAACATGGCCGAATATTCCGTTGGCATAACTACTTTTTATAGATATATTTTATCATATTAGGTGTATCGCACTTATCCACGTGCTTTTTAATTAACTATAAAAAAAATTACATAATTAAATGTTATAACTTATCAGTTGAGCTCTTTTGTCGTTAATTCAACGATAGGTAATAATTATTAATAAGTGAACCGTGTTGAATTATTAAGTTGGCAAATTATTATTTTGTCGACGTCGGCATAGTTAAATTATAATTATGCGACAGACATTATGTGATAGTGCATCACAGATGAATCATCCAGGAAAGACCATAAGGCTGGGGACAAAAGATGACTTTTATCGTCTCCGAATATCGTTTACCAAAAACCTCCATCGGGAAGTCTAGATTAATAACTGTTGCATTTCAAGAAAAAATATGTGTTTCAAATTGTTTATTCCAATATTGTTGTATACAACATTTTTAACAAAATGTTATTTATAAGAAAATTAACAGAGTGTACTATTTTGGTTTTAGACAATCAATTACTGTTGTCCGCGGAATATCACATCAAATCCCCGTTTCCTAACAACACGAATTATCAACGACGATTCGTTTTTTTTTTTAATATTAAAGTCACGTTTGGAATTAATGCTTACACCTTCACTATTATATTAGGTATATTTAGACAGCGGTTCAACGCTTGAGAAGATACTCTTCGTCACACACACGATTGCATATTATTTTCTAAAACGACTATAATATAATCTGTGTGCACTTAGTACCAATAAGATACACTTGTGGGTGTAAGAAAAAGTACTTCGTGCGATTTGCATACCGAGTGTGACTGATGTACGTTCACGGGCTAATCTAATTAGTGCGAATCAATGAGAAAGCAAAACAAAAATAACAATTAATAACAAGTACAGCACGATATCCGGTAATGATTATCCGCAAGTGTCGTTATGTTATTATCATTATAATTATTATAATAGTAAAACAAGTACAGTCATCATCTTGACGTGTTGTCTGAGGATATTCGTCCGTCCAACGTTCGCTGAACCTATATTATAACACCAAGCTTTCTCCCACAGCACACACACAGTACACACACACACACACAATGGGTCTGATATTAACGCGTATCGTTTCCCAATCGCACAACAGCTCGTGATCCGAATACAATTAATAATATCGCACAGGAAGGAAATGAAACGCATAGGAATACCAACCAATCTTTCTTCGCTCGCATTGTAAACATTTGAAGACAAATCTGTTGTTTGGTTCCACCACAAAGACTGACTGAAATTCGAGTGTCCTGTACACGTGCAATATACATAGGATAATACGTCCGTTCCGGACTAGCACGCTCATATTTGCAGTTAAAGACAATATTTTAATAACGAATATAAAAAAATAACATAGAAATTAGGGTTCACTTGAGATACACATAGGGACGTCGTCGAAAACCACACGGATAACTAATCGAAAACAATTTCCTCGTGCAGTAACGCTTATGTTGACGGATAAATAATATTTACATATTATTATTATGGTCGGTTTCCTTCGGATAGGTCTTATTTGTGGCTTTCATTAGCTGTAATAGGGCGTAGCCCCCTGGTTTACCTTGGACACGCTCTACATGAGCCTCGACACGTTATTTCGTGGTCCCCTTCGTACTGTTTTTTTTTATATATATAATATAATTATTATATTTAAAAAAAATCATAATTATAATTGAAAATTGATTTTGATCGACTACAACTATTCTGGTGTTATTGCTCAACTCTGTGATACTCTTTTTCTAAACGCACCATTTTTTGGAGGACAAAACATAAAAAACTGGAGAGCGATTTTTTATTTATATCTTAACTTACTCTTACCTAACTAAACCAAACCAAACCAATTAAATCCAAACCTAACCTATCCGTATGTATTTGTAATTCACAAATTTACAATACAATGAGTGTTGCTGCTTCTTTTTGGAACGATTAGAGTGACGATTCATAATTTGCCTTATTCATTTAATTTCCATTTCAATTATTAAGTTAGAGTGATAAGAGAATTTGTCCGTGGATTATACTGGGAAGTATTATTATTCAAAGTATAATTTTCACAACGGTTTAACAACGCTGTGAACTAGAGTTTATTTTAATAAAAATTCACCGTCAACAGACAAATCAACACAGTATATGCATACAAAGAGAAAAACTAAATGCGCGTCGTGTGATTTAAAATTTAAAAAAGTACAATAAAGAGAAGGGGCGTACCTACTACCTATATTATTATAGTAAGAGTGTGTGTATGTTCTTCAAGGAAAATCGACCGAATGGTGACCCACTATTCTGTAACCTCATTGTTGCGTTTTTATAACAATTGTTATTTTTTCACTATTATTATTATAATATGATTTATTTATACTTTGTATAGAAATAAAAATATTAACTATTTCTATAAATAGTTACTATTTATATTTTGAGTAGTAGGCTTATGATTTTTTCTAACAGATAAATTTTTGTTTGAATAAAATGGATATAATTAAGTGATAACAAGTTGGTACATTAAAAAAAAAAATAATAATAATTCATACAAAAATACAAATGCAAGTAAATTCCTTGAAAAATATTAAGTCTACTGAATCTTGGATACCCGCCAACAAAAAAATTCTTAATGGTACGTGTTTTAATAAACGGGTTTAAAAAAGAATCGTTTACTAAGAAGGAACCTATACTTATAGTTAAAAAAAAAAGGTTTTATTTAGGCAAAGTAAAGAGTTATGAATATTATTATGACCATTTCCGTTTCATTTCATTAGTCGGAATAACGAAGTGGTTTTTGGTGTTCTTTTTTCTTTTATAATTTATTGAAATATTGCTACTCCTTTTCAGTCGGTCAACGCGATGACGGGATTTGAGTTTTCCAAAATCTCAGGGGTAGTGCAGTACGGGTTTTCGAAGAAGAAATTAAACTTCCTGTAAGACAGTATTTACACAAGTTCATTGGGCATCCCGTTAGAGACACCCTGTAATGTTGTAAGGTATAACGTTGTAGGTGCTATTGTCTAAAAAAAAATCGAATGACCTTTACTGGAGACCATTGACGGCATCAACGAGCATAGGTCGACAGCTGTGCGATATGCATACAATGCGTGTATACTAATTATATGGGCGTGCCCCGGCTGACCGTGTTGTACTGTTTATGTAATACTATTTTTTAATTAAACGTATGCGCAGATTTGAATAATATACACTACACATATGTACAGGTATACTACAGTATGACTCTAACAGGTCTTACTCAGATAATCAAAAAATCATGACTCGGCTGTCGGTCGTTTACCGCCAACACCGTGATCGGCCAAATGCGGTGTTAATTGATATTCGTTGGGTTGTGACTTGTGATCAGTTTTTTACATTGTGTGAATAATAATCGTAATGATCGTGGTCAATGCTCCGTCGCCGAGAACACACGCATGCAGAGAAAGAGAGTAAGAAACAATGAAAAGAAGGCGACAAACACATTTCTAGCACTACACCTGTTGTTCGTGCACTTGTATCAACAGGTAGTAGGTTTACCAGAGTCGGTTTTTAGGAAGAATGTAAAAATCGATCC